AAAGAAGCATGTGAAAAACAGTGTCAGCTTTACTATAAGGTTTGCCTTTCCTAGAGTACCAACCAGCAGACGATTTCTTGAACACCCACTGTGGATTCACTGCATTCCACTTTCATCTCACAAAAAAGTCCTCACTCCTGAGGGGATATTGGGTCTTCAGCACCAGCTTTTTGCTCTATGGATCTTCTTCTGTTGGGTTGTGCAACAAACGTGGATGTGGCTTTATTCTGGATTTTTTCCTCTTCTGCCATTATCACTAAATGCTTTGCTGCCCAGTCCTGAGCCATTATTTCTGTTCTCCATTCATTCTCTCCCTTTCCCATGATGTCAGTATATTGTTATCAAAAATACTTTGATGTTACCAGATCAGTATTGGATGTCCCTAAAGTGCTTGGAGAATGTTTCTTCTCCAAACTTTCACGAACTGCCTTGAAAGTCCTTACTGCATTATCTGGCAAAGACCAGACAGGACAGACCTGGAAACAGGAGCAAAGAAGCAAGTTTCTTTCCCTCCACTTTCCTCTTAGGTAAGGAACGTTCAGTGCCCCAACAATATCCAGCACCTTTAGACACAAATTGATCACATCTTCTAATCAATGTTTAAGAGCACTTTGTACTTACAGACCACAGACCATTTTCCCATGTTTATCAGTCCTTTTAAAAGTGACCTAAAGCATCAGATATTCTGAACCACTGTAGCAGTAGCAAAGAAACAACCAGCCCTTTTTTTTTCTTTTAATAGTCTTATTCTCTTTAATGTAGCTGTTAATCAACTCAATTGGCTACGTTTTCATGGGTCTTACAGACATTTACAGAAGCCAGCAAAGCAGACAGTGCTATGCACAGCTGTTCAGGCTTTCTCAGGTGACCTGACAGGCCCTCTCCGATGTACAAGAGGACTTGAATTGGTGCAGTGTATATAATGAATGAAGCAAAACCACTACATGGAAGAACACAAGCTCTTGGTACTGTTGTCCTGCGGAGGAACTGGGCCTGGAGAGAGTTGAGGTCTGTTCTT